TCTGATCATTCTCAAGAAGAAAGTTGCTTACTGTACACCAAAAATTCATATTGAGTCACTACTCCAGGTGACAGCCAGAAAGCTTCAGGAATTACCATAAAATATTTAATCAACACTGGAAATTGCTCATGATGAGCACCCAATTATAAGACCTATTAATTATTTCAGAAAAAAAATTAAAAACCACCACAGTAAAGATACTGCATAAGAGTTTATGCATTGTGAAGATCTCTTAAGCATTTGGGTTTTCAGTATCTATAGTAAATGCTCTTTACTAATCAGCTTAAACAATGATTTGGAATTCCTACAGACAAGTCCTTTAAGGTCACACAGGAGGCCTGCACTGATAGGCTACCTCAACTGAAAGGCACTCACAGGAGAAGAAAAGAAGCTTCTACACCCAAATGACACATCAAAAAATCCACCTGCCAAACAAGACTTAAAGTAAACAGAAACTCAGATATCCAGGCAATTAAGCAGGTATGGGATGAACACATTGAGTAGTAGAGCAACCCATTCCCATGGCCTCTGTGTTATGGGAACAAAAAGCATAAACTGAAGAGAGCTCAACTTGTCTGTGATACCATCTCATGTATTCATACAAAAATGAGAGGATAGCTGTGGCAAGTCCAGCAATGCAGCAGGTATGGGATCACGTGCAGAGAAACCAGCACGTCTCCATACACAGTTTGGCAGGGAAGTGAAGGATGCTCTATTCTACAGGCTTGGTCTCGGTCAATAAGATAAGCAAAAAATGTAAGACAAGAAAAGGTTGCATTAGCAGTAAGTTATCCACAAAAAAATTATTACTAGATTTCAGATATGGAAAACATAGGTAGAAGTCTGGCATAATGAATTTGAGTATTACTCCGTTTAAGTCCCTCTGTAGTTCTGACTGTCATATGATTTCCATGAAATGGAAAATATCAGAGAAAAGAGCTAAAAGAAAGAAGAAAAAAAAAGCGGAATTAGCAGCCTTGCTGATGAAAAGCAACTGCAGGAAACCAAAGGCAATGGCCTGGGAGGGGGAAGATCCCAGGGCCCTGACCACCATTCAGAAATGCTCTTTCAGGGCAGCAGCTGACGTGAAAGGTGGAGATTAATCAGGGACTCAGAAAGCAGCATGACAAAGATGGGGAAGCTGTGGAAGTAGGGGTTTAGGGCGGGAGGTTTTTGCCAGTGGCAGCAGTGGCGCCCGGTGGGGCAGCATGGAGGGCGGGCAGGCAGGATGGAGTGGGGCAGGAGGGCACGGCATGGGGCCAGGAGAGCCTCCTGCAGCCCTGCCAGCTGTGACTGATCTCTTCTGCTGGGGCACAGTGGCTCCCAGGCTGTGGAGGGAAAGCAATGCACAAGCAGGCTAGGGCTCAAGTATGGGGAATCATTCTCTTAACTATCACTTGGGTGACTCCCTAATCACTGTGTAAACAGCCATGTCTAATCAGAACACTATTCAGAAAGGGGTTTTCTCCATTTCCTCTCGATCTCAATGTAATCTGGCAAAACAAAAAAAAAAAAAAAAAAACCACCACAACGCCAAAGACTTCATAGTCATTGCAAGAACATCTATACTTTTAATACATTACTGATGAGTAAGGTTCAATCAGATTTACAATTAAGATATTTGGTCATGCAATTAACGATGAAGATATCTGACACATGTCAGTAGAGCAGCACAGTTCCTGTGAAGACTGACAGGACTTCTACTTTTTACTTCAGTGGCAGCAGAGCCACCCCAATGGTGAGCAATTCAGAATTTTCTGCCTTAGAGCTTTTTTAATGCCATGAATAGCATTCTGTATCCTTGGTAGCATATCTTTGAGGCTATCTGTTGGCATGGCTTAATTATCCAGTATCAGCTTTCAACAATGAGCATATGAATTCTGACATGGCTGTTAGAAGTCTAACAGCTCTTTACCCAAAATGTACACGCATTCTCTAGAGTCCTTAGGCACAATTTTTCTTTTCCATCACAGCAAAATGTGACCTCTTTACTGGCATTAGTAGTGATATTGTAATTCATAAACCATCCTTAATTGGGGCTAAAAAGCATTGTAATGATGAGAAATACGTCCCTGAAAAAATAGATTCTGCTTGCTGAGGTACTGCCTGACAGCTTTAACACTCAAGAATCAGAATGTTAAAGATATTCAGAGTCAAAGAAAGCTTATGGTAATAAAGAATAGCCTGGTATATAGTCACTGTCTTAAGGGTGAAGTTAGAAGACTGACTTTGACTGCATTTTCTTTTAGCTTTTCCATGCACCTTATTACATGTCTCCTGCAACTGTGACAGAAGAACAGCTTTAGAGCAAACCTCCCTGGTTGCAGTCCAGGACCTCACAGTAAATCCCAGTGTTCCCAAAGACAGTCCTGTCCTCTGTTTGCCATGAGAAAAACAGTACTGGTAGGAGCAGGCTATGGTGAAAACTGCTCTTCTAGAGAAAAGCCTCCTAATTCCATTATGATTTTCATTATGTTTCCATTTTAAAATGTCCAAAAAATAAACTCTTAAAAATACATAATGAAAACAGTCAGACCATTAACTAAAGTCAAAGGCAATACCACTATCATAAAACTCACAGGTGCTCCTGTAATCAGCAAAGCAACACCATTCTGATTAAACCAGGAAGAAGGTATTTTTTAAATTTTTACTTCCACTTCCAGATACATAGAAAATGTGAGTTTAATGTGGCAAATTATGTTTCTTTATGTCATTATTTTCCTGAACTGGATGCTGTGACAGCAGTCTGCATTTCATAAGACATAGCTTCCAACTAGCAAAATCTATGCTCAACAGGAAATATGCTCCACTCAGTCCAAATGTTCTGAGGACATCAAACATATTTGTATAAACATGCTGTATCATAATTGAGAGGGTTGCTAGTACTTGGGATTTAGGCAGCACTTTACAGCTTCAAGGTGCTGTACAAACATTTAACTTATTTATTAATTTTCTAACTAGGGACGTAACCTAGATTTAGTTAGAAGAAAGCTGAGGATGAGAGGCGGTTGGGTAAACAGGTTTATCATACTTATGTAAAAGACCATACAGAGTCCTCTTAGAGGTTCTTCCTCACCAAAACAAAAGGGTAAAACATCTCAAAATCTTCTAATCCCTGATGGGGAAACTAACAGGCAGCACTGTGAAGGCCAGCTCAGACCATCATGCTGAGGGCTTCAGAGGTATTTTTCACTGGTCTCCCCATGTTCTCCTAGAGATGAAAATATTATTTCCCTTGGATTCAGTGGAATATCAATGAATATTTTCAAAAACTTCTTCCTGTCACTCAGCCATGCCCTTCCCAAGTCCATAAACTGGAGCACTGCAAACCAGCAGGCCCAGTACTCCTGCTCTGGCTTCCAGGGTTTATTACCACACTCAGGTATATTTTCAAAGGCTCAGGAGTTATGACCTAGATTTACAAAAATATGTAGATTTGATTTAGCTGCTTAACATTAAGCAACATAAATAGCCTCAGTGCCCATCTCCAGAAGGGGTTTTGGTAAGAACCATTTACTTCACAGCTGATTTTTGCCCAAATTACAAAATTGCTCTGAGTCAAACAGGGTACAGCTAAAATCATCTGACCTCTATGGGTTTATGTTCTGACAACAGAGGAGAGCGAAACTCTCTCATCTGATATAGGAGTGTCTCTGCAACTTATTATTCTTTCATTGGCACATAGTAAATTGAGCTCTGGCAATAGCAATGCTACTGGGAAATAAAGATAATTAAGAAACATAAAGCATGCCACTCTTCTTGAACCCAGTTGGAATCTTGGTTTTCTGTGTCTCTCATTGTAGGATTATGAGCCTGGTTTTAAGTTTGTATTCTCATAATTTTACATAATTGACCATTTGCAATCTTTTATAATCTAAAATGTCTAATAACTATGCACAGAAAGTGAGCCCTTTCCATAGTATTTATAAATATTTCATATGAACTGGAGTTAATACAATTTATTTATAATGCATGGGAGTCTGCAGTGGGTTTATAAAAATAATGTGTGTTAACATGCAGTCATGATTTAATAATCAGGAACTAATTTCTAAAATACATACAAAGAGTGGCTGGTTCCAGTAATTGGCAATAGGATTGAGAGGTGCAGATATTGACAGATGGCTGAGCTATGGTTAACACACCATACTGGGGAGAGCAAAGATGGCACTAACACAAACTTCACCCTATTCATTCCTTAATAATTTCACTGTCTGCCACAACAAACCTAGAATAGCTTCTTCAGAGGTGCCCAGGATTAATTCCATCCTCCTGCTAACAACCATTGTGGTAGAGGATGACATCACATCTATTATGTAACCATAGGGCAATAAGACCATCCAAGGATTCCCACCTGCTCAGGAAGCTACCAAGAAGCCATAAAGCTACATGAGCCACTAACCATCTATTAACTAAATGATTCAAAACTGTTAAAAGGGAAGGAAAGTACTCTATCTGTTCCACAGTAAATGCATCTCTCATCTGATACTATGAGGTTGCTGAACCAATTTCCACACCACTTTGGAGATCTACACAGCAGATGGGAGTGAAGAAACCTATCTGCAGAAGAAAATAGATGAAGCTATTGGATTGACTGGAGAACATGCACACAGCTGAAACAGACCTTCTCATTTTGATCTGCGGTGAATAAAAGGATGCAGAAATCAGCAAGCAGATAAAATTGATGGTGATAAGACTACAGCTGCAATCAGACATCCACATACAAGTTATTATAGAGAGCCTCCAAAGCAAAATAGGCTTTCCATGCTAATGCCATTTTTGAAACAAAACTCAATTAATTTCCCATACTCTTTCAGCAGCCTGTATGAAAGACAAGAGAAAAACAATTGTTTGTGCTGCTAGATGTTCATTTCCTCATTTGTGGGAGGGGAAGAGTACCACAGTGCATGCCACAGCACACGCCACAGTTCAGACAGCCACAACACACAGAATGCCATCATACAAGTTCAGAAAGGTTCAATCCAAACAGAGCAACACCTTACCTCATCAGAAGGCTTCAGGCTCTGCCCATACAGAGTAACACCAAACCACTTCAGAAGGCTGCAAGCTCTGCCCTTCTTGCTCTTTGTCCCAGCCTTTTATCCCCTCCTGTTGGTGCCCTGCCCCTGTGTGCCCTCTGTTCCCTTTGGTGGCTGCTCAGTGCCCCTGGGCCCTCCATGGCTCGTTGCTGTCAGTGCTGCTCACCTGCTGCTCACAGCTGCACCCACTGGGGATGAGGCTGGGCCAGCCCCACTCACAATCACCACACACTGTGTGCCTACAGAAGAGAACCTCAACACACACAATTAACCCATGAGATCTCCACTGCAGTCATGCACATGCCTCCTGCCTGCAGCTTCAACTGCACATTGTTTATTATTCATTATAGGATTATTATTATACACTTTCTATAATGCTACAGTGACAAAATCACTCTAGATACATTTCTTTACTTTTTTTCACTACTCAGCAATAATAAAGTGTAAAATGTGAAAGAAAACTATTTCTAATGGCTTTCTTTTAAAATATATTTCAGGTTGTTCATGTCACAAAATGCTTATCTTTTGAACTCTCAGACTGTTGGGCTGAGCAAAACAGGGCCTTAAAACAAAATTAAAAACCAACCAAATAAAAAATCCAGCAAAAGTTGGGTTCTAGTTCCGATCCCTATTTTAAATACAATTTTTAAATAAGAATCTGAATGGAGTGAGCAGCTGTTTTAGGGCAGTTGGGCAAGTTTCTCAGAAGTAAATGAGTGTTCAGGCAACAACTTATTACATGACATGACTTTAAATATTTCAATTTCCTATTGTAAAAGACTTTGCGTTATCTGTTTGGTAAGATAACCTACATATTTATTTACAAGGGAATGTAATTACAAAACAAAAGAACCCTTAAGAACTAATATGAAATTATTCCCCTAAGTAAAGTTACTTTCAAGCTTTAGCACCTGCACTTATAAGTTGTATTGTCTTGGCTCTCCTATGAGTATTTATTTAGCACACCCCTCCTGCTGATTCCCTGCCCCATTTTGCCTGCTGGAGGTGCCTGTTATGGAACGTTTCAGCAGGGCCACTGCAGACTCCAATCACAGCAGCACATTTAGATTTCCTGTAAAAATACTGCTTAGCTCCATGCCACTGAACAGATATAAAGAATAATATATTATGACACTCTATTAAAAATTTATTTTTTTAAAGTTGCAATATATACTGGTTGAGCACACAATGTTTCTCATTTTGGATATAATTTGTGATTTCAGACATCAGGTGAAGCATATGAAAAATGAGAATGCATATTTTAGTTTATGTTTTTGCATAAGTCAGAAGGATATACATGGCCAGTACTTAAAGTGACAACTGTGGCTGATATTGATTCTGATCTGTGTGAAATGCTGGGCAGGACTGGAAGCCAGTGGCAGATTCCCCATTGAGACAGATGCTAATGTCAATATATGCTCTCCCAGCTCTCAGTCCCTGAGAACCCAGGCCCAGATCTGCTGAAATCAAAGGGCCCAAGAGGGTAGATGGTCCAAAGGACACCTGGCAGGCAACTTTGAAAGAGCCAGATCTGAACCCTGTACCCACTGAAAGCAGTTGTAACTTTACCATCAACTACAATAGGGATGGTAGATGCATCCCCTTGGCATTTAACTTCTGATTTTGGAAACTTTTCTCTTTCAATCCTTTTTATGTGTTTGTGAATCATTCTGAAAAATATTAATTCTGTTAAAATATTTGCTTTCAGAGACAGTTTGTACTTTCTCTTTTATCAGCAGACCACATCCACTGCCCAGCTTTCTTCTCTTAAGAATCCCCAGGTTCTGCTTAATCCAGTTTTGCTTTTCTGAAATTATTGGTCTGTTGTTCATAGTTCTTTTAAAACTATTTAAAAAGTGAAACCTCCAGGTTCACATCTTTTTCTCTCTGTTCATGCCTTTTTGGAGCATAATACAGTGAGTTCCCATCCTCTCAGGTCTTGAAATCGGTCCTTGGATCCCGCAAAATGTCCAAGCTCAGAGGAGGGGAGGGCATGTGTGATGTTTAATATAATGTCTTTTCAGAGCATCAAGGAAATGAGGAACAAGAGACTAGGAAAAGGAAAGCTTACCCTCGGGAACGTTACTTTTGAAAGCCCTGGAGAAACAGACCTCTGAGAACAATGACAAGAAGCCCACAGAGGTGCACTGCACTGCAGCCTGAGCTCACAAGCCTGGCACAGGTCTGGTTTCCTGCTGCTCTTATTCATGCCAAGGGCCAAACTCCTGCAGCCGTTGCTCCACGGCCTTCTCTGCTCCACTGCTCCTGCAAGGAATGACATCCCTGTCCTGAGGGAGGAGGCAGGGCTGAGAGCCCCAGGCTGAGCCTGCTGTAACACACAGCACACACTGCCCCGGAGTGTGAATGATCCCCATGGTATCATTTCTCCTGGGACAAACATTTGCCCTCCTGCTCACTCTTTCTCCCAGCTCAGGTGGAAGCCCTACCAATGCATGGAGAGCAGAGCTCCCCAAGATGTCCGAGCATCTGCAGCAGCCTGGGTAATCAGTATACCCTACTTAGGTAAATTAGTAAACTTTTAGCACAAGAGAATACAATCACAATGATGTATATGAGAATATATTTGTAAATATTACTGATCAAACTTCAGATCAATAGGTGTTTTACATACCAGAGTAAACATATAAACTCCACTGCCAACTTCAGCTTTTAATCATTTTATTCATTTGTGGATTCATTCATCTTTCTATAATCTGATGTATGGGTCTGGTTCTCCAACATTAAAACCATTATTGCAGCAACTGTCGCCATTTTAATTTGTAACCAGTGTCCCAGAATTTTTCACGAATTAATTGGACAGTCTTGCACATTAAATATAGTAATAAATATCTTGCAATGCAGGTGAAATTTAAATTTAAAATATAAATAAATGGTGAATACCCTGATATTTATGTTTAATAAATACACAAGTCTGCTAGAGAAAGAAAGCAACTAACACCATCTTGGCCCTGACACCCTCTCCACAGTACTGCAAGGCTGAAGGCATTGTACATCTGTGTGAAAAAGAAGACAAGGAAATAAAGCCAGGACTTCTCTCAAATGCAGTTTGGAAGAGCCATCCTGGGGCTGGAGAGGCAGCACCCAGGGGCTCTCTCCCCTGCAGCCCACTCCTAAGCCATAAAGCTTCTCACTGTGTTCTCAGTTAGCTCAGATCTTACAGGGATGATGAACCCTTGCCTATCTAATCCCCTCACCTAGGGAGCCAAGGGTGGCTTCCTCAGGCAGCTCCTACTATTCTGTGTCTGAAACACTACAGGTGAAATCCTAACTCTGGTATGCACCAGTTAGACTCTTTTTTTGGCAGAAGAGCAAGCTGTATGCCAGAAAGACTCAGACATCTTTTATAAAGAACTATAGCACTCACATCATGAAAATATTGCAAGGACACAGTGTCACCATCTGAATTCACATGACAAATACTTCAAATCCAGAACAATGTACAGCTTTGTTTTTACATATGAGTAGATGAACTGTTGTTGGCAAGGACTTGTAGTGTAACACAGCTTCCTCTGGAAAGTCAAGATATTATTTTTGGAGTAAAAACCAAAATACTATTTTTTGTTATTTTTGTCAATACTATTTTTTAGATGTGCACATGGGCATAGAACCTTTAAAAAGAGACTAAATAGTAGAGCACCTTTTAATTTTATTCCCTCCCAAATACCATAGTAAATAAGATAGCACTTTTAAAAGGCTTGTATAAGTTATACAGCTACATTTCCACACACAAAGAGAAAAATAAAACTGTTAATGGAATTTCTTTCCAATATCCTGCTATATTGAGCATAAATACAAGTATCAGACACATGGGTCATTAATTCCCATTGAAAAATGCTGAAGGAAACTTCAGAAATAAAAGTACTAATCTCACCTAAAATTTGTGTAGAAAACCAGTGTTTTGAGCTACAAAAATATCTGTATTGTTGTTCACATATTTCTGATACTAATCATATTTCAATTTGCTAAAATCTGTTTTGATGTGTAGACCCTATGCTGCAACCTAATAATGCAATTGAACTTACCATACTCTTAGCAAGAGATTCACCTTTTCAATGAATCAAATGGCCTTTCCTAAAATTCATTACAAGTAAGTTGTTAATTTGTAACTGCAGAAATCTGGTGATGAAAAAAAAAGGCTCTTGAAGTTACTGTTTTGCAGTAATACAGCAACACAACCATTTTCATAGCAAATCCTATCAAACATTTAATGTTTACATCATTGTAAACTTGAAAACATAATTAGTGATCTATCCAGTTACCTAGAACAGTTGGATAGTGCTGCCCTTCACTGGTTCATAATGGTATACCACAAATCAAAACTAATGGCTACCTGACAAAACTGTGGCTCAGCTGCATGACAACTCAGTTTTCCCTACTCCTCCCTCCAGGACTTCCACATAGCTATCAAATGAACACCCAAATGTGCCTCTTCATAATCCAAGTTTTCAAGTAATGAATGCTTTTATATATTTGCTTATATCTTTAACTGGGAGGGATAAGATAGTTGCCAATACTATCCCTGCCCATTGTTATTGTGTTTTATCCCATGTCAGAGCACTACTGAAATCCCCTCCTCAGTGTTAAATTATGCTTTTCCTCCATGAAAGAAATGCCTCAATAAAAGAATAATGAACATTTTTGCTGGAATGCTTCTATTCAATATTAAAATATTGGACAGATTAAAAGTGGTACTAAATAATGTCTGCATTTGTGTAGGAACAGGTGAGATCAGGTAAATAACCAGTAGTGTCCTCAACATATGCATTTTGCCCTGCTGAGGGAACAGAATATAGCTGGTAGAGCAAATGTAATAGTCACCTATGTCCAAACATTAAATTTCACCTGGGAACGGAATTTAGATTAGTTGATTTTTTCATACTAGTTGTTATATACATACTGAGACCTATGGGTCTTTAGAAAAGTGATTTTTCCAAAGGAAATACATTTAGGACAGTATTAACAGCTAGAAGGTGTCTGATGACAGGTGATGAATGACTGCTAATTACTGCATG